TCGTCGTCGTCGTCGTCGTCGTCCTCGTCGTCCTCGTCGTCCTCGTCGTCGTCGTCGTCGTCGTCGTCGTCGTCCTCGTCGTAGTAGTAGTAGTAGTAGTAGTAGTAGCAGTAGTACTAGCAATAGTGGTACTAGGGTTTAGGGTTTAGGGTATTAGGTGCCCACTATGCAGAAATTATATAGGGACTCCATATGGATTATATAGGTCTATGGGATTATGTAGGGATTGTGTAAAATATTTGGGGCTGGAGCTATTGGCCGTGGTAATAGCAGCAAAAGTAACATGAATAAACCCAAAGGTAGTCATAGTAATGGTAACCGTAATGCTCATGATCACGGTAAAAATGAAACAAACAGCACGGGCTGAACAAATAGAAAGTGGATAATCAAATGGACAAGAAAATCAAAAATGTGATTTAAAGCGATAGCATTCGTAATGATGATCTTTGTATCGATGATTTAACAATGGTAGATTTCCAGCTTTCCACGCGGAAAAAAAAATTGGAGGTCCCTTTTGCGGGCGCCCATACTAGGAACTTTCGCGCACGGCGATAAGTAGACGGCATTTTTTGGAAACTACCGTACCACCTCTAGGTTCCCAAAAGGGAGGATCTGTAGGGATGCCAGGGAACAAGTATTTGGGATGTAATGTTGTAAGCACATTTTGCGGCACAAGTCGCGCTTTTGCCACCTTATGTAGATAGAATATGGCTTTGGGTAGATTATAATAAGATTCCCATGTACCGCATATGCTGTCTACTTACGGGGGACAATAGCTCTTTAGGGTTTCGACGCTTCATGAGACCAACTTGCTCACCTACTTCTGGTGTTTCCGGCCTTGGGGTTTCATAGTCCCCCTCAACTACAACAGGTTATTGTAAGGTGATTATGGAGGTGTTATAGGGATAATGGAAAAGAAAATGGAAACTACTATTGAGGGTTTAGGCTTTAGGGTCCCTCTTAGGTAGATAGGATATGGGGTATACGGGCATTATTTGTATATACTCAAAGCCACATTCTATCTACTTAAGGGGGACTATATGCATCGAGCACACACTTACGATTCTATAGCAAGTCGCATGTCAAGATTGGAAACTGCCATGCAGCCTAACAGAGTAACATTTTCAGGGTCAGCTCGATTAGGAGAGATTTGAAGTTTAGGTTTTAGGGTTTAGGGCGAAAAGTCCTCCTGCAGAGTTGCTAAACAGGATTCTGTGGGAGATCGCATCCTGCAGCCCATCCATTGAGGCATAAATCCTTTGCATATCTCGCTGACTCTGCAGCAAACATACCTCTCGGGCCAAGAAAGATGCAAATCGGTGTCAAGAAAAATACTAAAACTCAAGGTAACAATGATGATATCTAATTGAAAACCCTAACCATCAAAAAAATCTGCAAGTAAAGACCATCAGAATACAAATGATAACAACAATTACAGATAATGCTTGTTTAGCAAGGCTGGCTCAAACTCCTGGTGGCCATCGCGACTTCCTAACCGATCTTCATCAAAGTGCAGGTACTGTGGTAGCTCGCATACTCATCAGGTTGACCATGCCATCATGTTACGGCGTTTACACAGCAACCGAAAGGATCCGAAAGGAGGCGCCTGCTTTGTCGCCGTTCTTCGCGCAGGCTCTGAGAGGGGCTGCACCTCCCTCTCTCCAAGTACAGCCCACAAGTATGAAGCTAGTAGCGCCACGGCCAGCGCAGCCATGGCATGCGAATTGCGTGAATGGAAAGGTGCCGCCTTTTTTCCGCTCACTATCGGACGGGAAGAAGCTGCGAAACGTTCTCGGCTTAAGGCTGCACTGACACGAGCTAGAGCTATGTGGCACGCCTGCCCGAGGGTGTCAAGCAGCAATGAGAAGCCAACAGCACTAATTGCGTCCGGCATCTCTTCATCTTCGGCGTCCACCTCCTCTGCCTGCAAATGCAGGTCTTAGATGTAGATCGGCGCATTTTGGAATATACCATATACTGTAGATACTAGCAACATCGAATATTTTTCGGCTCTTGACATGACCCAAGTTATCATGATTTGCTAATGGCACACGCAACAGCCAGAGTCCTGGCTGGTGCCTGATAAAAATGAGGGGATGGATCTCTGCATTTGTCCATCAAAAACAAATCCCTGCTAAAACCTGAACCCCGAACCCTGAGTAATGTAGGTTTAGGGTTTAGTGATTTCGTTTCCACTCCTTTTTCCCTACTAACGACCACTAGGGTTATGCCAGTGAGTTTCAAGTGCGCCGGGTTTTGTCCAGAACTATCCCTGTAAAATCCCTGTATATACACCTAGAACAGCACCTATAACCCAGTCCCACACTCCCCCTTTGCAGCCCCACCCTAAACTCTAGACCCTGAATGATCAAGAGGTTTTTCGTTCATAAAGCGCCTACGGAATCCTCACATCACTCCCATATAACTGCTACATAAGCCCAGCTTGCACTTCATAGTCCATTATCATAATCTGAACCCTAAGCCCTAAACCCAATAATTGTTTGTTTGATTCTCCATTTTTCCTTGATTCAGCACTCTGTGGCCAAGCCTCCGCGTCATCCCCGCCTAAGCTCCGCAGGTTTAGGGTTTAATTAGGGTTTAGGGTGTAGGGTTGAGGGTGCTTAAGGGGGTGAGATGCAGGGACTGGGTTATAGGTGCTGCTATAAGGCCAAATATGGGAGACGAGTAACACAAGGATTAGTCTGGATCCCGCATGCCACATTCAGAATTCTGTATCAACCCTAGACCCTGAGCCCTAAACCCTAAACAGTAGTTTCACTTTTCCATTATCCCTATATAACCCAATATACCGTAAACCCTAAACACTATATAACCCCATTCTAGGACAGAGCCCCATTCTCCACCATCCGCCGGGTGTCAGACTTGCAGGTCCATCCTTTGTCTTCTTCTTCCGTTTGGCCTGGGCCTGCACCTTCAAGCGTGAATGCAGACTGCCAATACTAATAGTAATAATGAAAATTGGTGTCATCTTTATTATCATTAGCCTAGACATAATAGTAGTAACAGTTTACTATTATGCTAATAAAAATGCGGAAAATAATCTTTTGCCTTGCATGCCTCCAAGCCCGATTCTACTTGTTCAGGCTCCTATGCGCAGTGTACAGTCAGTTGGCTCAGGCATTGGCGATGGATCTCCCCATCCCACCGCGGCGCACACCCTGCAGTAGATGCAGATGTTCTAGAAGTCTAGAAGTATGCTAAATCAACAGCCAGAGAAAGGGCATGGAAGAAGAAATTGGCAGACCAGTTCCATTCAGCCTTGAACTTGTCAGTTCGGATGCGCTTGATCTGTGAGAAGTTGTCACTCAGAACCAGGACCTCGCAGGGAGCTGAGGCTGCACAGTCCCGCATAGGTATTAGATAGGGGTTACATAAGGGTTATATAGGATTTATATGAGGTTTAGGGTGTAGAGCTCAAGGATATTATGGCAACAACGGAGAATCAAATGGAAAAGAAAATGGAAAATGAAAATGGGATTACAAAGGGTTCATGCAAAAGCGCTTTCCAGAAAGAGAGAGAAACCTCACCCGAATGCACCACAATCCTTATTACGGAGACCTTCAAAAACGGACTGCCCAAGGTTGAAAAGGCAACATTAGGGATCCATACAATCAGGACGATCATGGACGATCCTTGGCATCCGTTGGGAGATGTTTGTTGTTTTAGGGCTTAGGGTTTAGGGTCACGCACCGAGCGCTGGGCACACTGTCGATTCACCGAGGCATCATCCTGGCGTAGTAGGGTCATGTATGCATACTGTGAGCAAGTGTCAAAGTAAACAGAAGATGCAACGCAGTCTGATAAGACTCCTGACCACGGCTCACAGGAAGGGTCAGTACTCTGCCTTGAAATATAGTGTTGCTGGGGTGAGTGTGTCTGTAGAGGTCCTCATGGAATCCTATGAGCACCGTTGCATGTTTTTTTTGTTGTTACCATGTTTTCTCAGTGATTGCAGTAGTAAATAGGATGCTCTACTCGTAACGGCGGGCCGACTCGAAAACACTCCAAACTACCAACCCTGAACCTCCACACCTTAACCAGAAGCCCTGCAACCCTCAGCTCTACCTAAACACCCAAACCCTAATCCCCACACCCAAAACCCTCCACCCAAAGCCTAAACCCAAAACCCAAGTTTCCGTGTTTTTTCTAAGCAGGGCGTGCTGACCTCAAAGTAGCCAGCCTTCTTCTTGAGGCGCGCCTTAAAACAACAGGTGTCTTGTTTAGGCCCTTGTCAATGTTGAATAAAACTGTTTTAGTCCAGATTGGGCTTAAGTCTTCATGTCTATTCCATGTCGACTTACTTGTTCATACAAGTGTGATATCCTGTTCAGTAAGTTTACGTGTGCTTGTGATGCAGGGTAGTTTAGGAACGAGGATGGGGGGGGGGCACTTTCCACGAAGACACAGGCTTTTGACGACATCTGATGTAGGGAGGCTCAAGGCGGGTGGTCCCTTATTGCATGTCCTGGTGGCACGGATAGTGAGCGGACCGCACTATGGGGAGAGGATTTACGACACCAGGAATCTGGCTGGGGGGGGGGGTGTTTTAACCATAACCACAAGAAAGAAACCAGCAAGTTGGAATTCTTCATTTATTGTATTGCCCGTAGCCTTAGCGCGCTACAATGGTAGAAACCTGATCGAAGGACTTGATACCCAGCTCTCGCTGGATAGCCCAATACCCTTCAACTGAGAAGGCCTATCAGAGCCCTATACAAGTACATTTAAGACGATTATTGGGCTCCCTGAACTCCTAACCCTCAACCCTCAACACACATAAACAATTCAAGTGGTACTTACGGTATTATTGAGGGTTCCCCAAAATTAGGGGTACCTTTTTGGGGGTGCCTATAATGAGGATTCTTGTATTTTGGGGTCGATTTTGTGCTGATCCTGGTGCTTATTTTAAATTGTTTCTAGTGCTGCGTTTTTTGTTCTCGATTTTTTGCTTTGTGTGGGGGCCCCAGGAGTACTGGAAGATAATCCTCATATAGCCCTATATATAGTAGCTTCCATGTCAATTGTCCATTTGATTCTCCATTTAATTCTCCAGTATTATATAATCCTTGTATAACCCTGTAGGCAGTACCTTCCATGTCATTTTCCATTTGATGTTCGATGTGATTCTCCATTCTTGGGGTTATATCCACTAATATATATATATATATATACATCCCTGAACCCTAAACCCGAAATATCGGGAACTACCACAGAGTGAAGGGAGCTCCGGGTCACCAGACTGCCTCTTGCTGCTCTTCTCTCTCTTCAGCCTGCGCTTGGGTTCATTGGCTTAATTAGAGGGGGTTGGTAGGCTTTTTTGCTTTTAAACCTTTGGACTTTTGTGCCTGCGGGTTTAGAGTTTAGGGTGTTTTTTACAACCCTTGGACTTTATGAGTTTAGGGTTTAGGGTTTAGGGCTTAGGGTAGGGAACCAGGGAATAAATCATCGGCTCTTGGTTGTGGGTTTAGGCTTTGTAGGGAAAAGAGGAATGTATTATTTGAGTATCATATAAGGAGTAGTTTTCTTTTTTCCTTACTAGCCGCCAGTAATTTGGTAGCAGTCCCGATGAACAAGTCAAAGCAGAAGTGTTGTTAGGGCTCTAGCGCAGGCAGGGTAGCTACGACTGAGGTTGTAGGACAGAAAGCTACACTAACATGGTCAGTGATAACCCAGTTTGGGATACTACTAACTTTGATTTATGACTACCCGAGCCTCCAAGCAGTGCCACAATACTGGGGGTTTGGGTCAAGGGTTCAGGTTTTGGGACCCCTAAACCCGAAACCCTAAACCATTTAGGTTTGAGGGTTTTTTGGCACCACCATCTCTAAAGCCCCATATGTACCGACGGGGGCTTTATGGTTTACGTTTGCTCACAGCCAGGGTCCTTGGCTCAGCGAGATGCCTTCTGCAAGGATCCCAAACAGATACCCTTTTCTGGGCTGCTGCTCAGTTCAGGAAATTAAATTAACATACCATAATGTGGGCATATGTGAATACTTATTCTCGTAACTTAATTTAAGTTCCATAACAGGAATCCTGTTTTTGGACACAAAGCCAGGTCTGTCATGCAAATCAGAGGCATCTACACTGACAAGAAGCTCAAAATCTCTTGAGTCATGTGCGTCCCTCATGCCTGATATCACATAGGAGCCGCTACTGATGCTGACAAGCACCCATAGAGGCCCTGATTCCTTGTGGGTGGGGGAAGCCGCAACTAAAGTCGTGTTGAAAAAAACAAACGCGGAACCTTTCGGCCGGATAGGCCTCCTTAGAGGAGCATAAATATCTCACCACCACGCCTCCAACTTGTCAATTGCAGCCTCCAAGTGTACGAGGTCTTTCTCCTCAGTGGCTGGGTTCGCACGGTTGACTCCTGCTGGATGAGCTGCCCTATCTGGGATTCATAATTACTGGGGAAGAAGTTTCTAGAGAAATCATGCGCCGCTTTTGAAAGATCCCGATGTGAGCAATCCTATGGAACCCTCTAAAACACAACTGTCTGCCCAATTCCATGCAAAGCCTTTGCAAGCACGCAGCACTATGGGACTGCGGCTTGCAGGCGATGAAACGCCCACAGATCCGACAATTCCACAGAGAAGCCAACTATATCGAGGGTGAAGGGAAATATTTGACCTCTGTAAGCCCCTCCTGACAACAAACCTAAAAATCCGACAGAACAGCGTGATACTCCGTGGAGAGTTGTAGATTTCCTAGACCCTGTCAATCACGTATAACCCGCAATCATCCAGACTTTTTCCAGGCTCAGACCCCAATTGCCAATAAAAACGCTGTTGCCCCATGTCCGTTGCTATGAAAGTTACTGGCTGTGAAGGAACTTAATTGAAGTTACTACTTTGGGGAAACCATATTCATTACTATATACATATATATACACCTGTAATATAGTAACTTAAGAGTTCCGCAACAGCAACCCAGGTTAGTGTTCCTCCAGATTCTAGACATTTTGCTGTCGCGGCTGCTAAGAAGGCCCGGCAGATTTGCGACACCCTCGAGCCCTGGACCTTACATAACCCCGCATTCCCAATACGTACTATAGTCAAACTCCTAAAAGGGGGTTATATAGGGGATTATATAGCAGAGTATGATAGGGGTTTGCAAGGGGGATACTAGGAGTTTAGATTGTAGCTCATGTAGCCCCAATATGTCCCCCATAATCAACATAGCGCAACATTTGAGAAACCTCTGTTTCTGGGCACCCGCTCCCACAGCTGCTCCAGAGTCGTGGCCTGAAGGTCACAAATTCGAGGCGAAAGCGAAAAAAAACCGAAGCATGGAGAAAGGGTACCCTGAGCCCTCTTCCATAGCTCTGTAGGTCCTGCGGTGGGCGGAGGAAATCTTTTACCACTTAAGATCCTCAAAGTACTGCAATTATTGGGGAAAAGGCTGTATAACAGGTGGTGCAATGTTTCCGCGATCGACAGTAGGTTGAGGGGATTGCCGCGGTGTTCCCACTTCTTGGTATCTACAAAATGTGCCTGACAGGCACACGGAATGAAAGTTCAGGCTATTGGCCAGGCCATGGGTACAACGATACGGCATACTACTGAGATTTCGAGCATCAGCATCATCACCGTGACTGATGAATACTAGTATCTTGCTGAACAATTCATAGCTTTAGGAGCGAAGTTACTTTGTGTGACTACTGCCGCTGATGCAGCTGGGTCCGCACAATCGAGCTGCAGCTAAATCCCCACACATGTACTCAACATGCACAGCCTGCAGGACAATGTGATCCTTGAACACAACCCCAACCAATGTCTAGGCTCTCAGTTCCTCTGCTCTAAACCCTCCCACATACCAAGCCTGAAGCACAATTTCTTTCAGCGAAGGATGCAGGTCTGTGCAACACGCTTTTTAGGGTTCAGGGTTCAGGGCTTGGAGAGTACAAAAGAGATTATGGTGCACCCCAGATCCACCTTGAGCATCCTCTTTTTAGCCCAGATTTCGAAGCAGGTCATACAATCCCTACTCTACAAAAACCCTTATTCTCACAAGGGGTACCTGATTCTAGATTCTCATTGATAACATAAGAGATATATGTATATGTAAACATGTACATTCTGGCTTGCAACGAAGATTTTAATATGTACAACTACATGTATGTCCATCTATCTAACTTGCCGATCTACGTAAACATATTCTATATTCTATATAGATATAGAGAGAGAGAGAGAGTGTGTGTGTGTGTATCTTTGCATCCTGAGATGTCCTTCTTGGCAAAACATTGGAGAAAATCTAGGACCACCTTATGTAGTAGCATGCGCCCTCTAGACTACTACCTGGGAAAGCCCGGATTTTCGAGCAGCCTGAGTGGTGCAAGATTGCCATCCAACGCCCAAAGCCCCTATAAATTACAACAGACCTATATCATACATGTGTAGACAGCTCCTTGCAGCAGCGGAATCACCCGCAGCCTTGAGATCCGCAAGTTCTTTACCTTTCTTCGCCAGCTGACGCTGCAGTTCAGCCAGACGCTCCTGATTTCGAGCTCGGAGTTAAAGTTTTGCGTCTAGGATGTACTTACATTTGAGTTTTCATGTAGGGTCAAAGTATGACTGATACTACTGGTACTACTATAAGGTACTTAAGGTCATGCAGGATTTTTGCATTCACCATAGTACTAGTACGTGTACTCGTACCACTACTAGTAGCAGCAATAGCAGCAACAGCAGGGGTTGCAGAAGTAATAGCAGAAGTACTCTCGCGCTTTGTTATGCTACGAGCTGTACCTGAAGTAATTTTCCAACATTCGTATCAGATGCATCAGCTTTCTCATTCCTAGACTGTGCTACCTGGAGCTTCTCAACAATAGGGCTGGTACAAATCCCACAGAGCTAGAGGGATTCTGCATGGACTTTTAAATCCTTCTGAAGGAATCCCAGAAATCGAATTTCAACACTCTCCCACTTTCAGCCGCGTGAGGTCCTCGGTGAGAGTCCACAGCTTCAGCTTCAGCAGATAGCCGTATCCCTCTGGGCCAGCCTCGGAGTCGCTTTCAGGGGGGAATAGGGAATAAGGGAGAATATTGGGGCTATATGAGGATAATGGAAAAGAAAATGGAAACTACGATACTAGGGTTATATGAGGGTTATATGAGGATTGTATTGGGATTATATAAGGATGATGGAAAAGAAAGTGGAAACTACTACTTCCTAATAACCGGCCATTCCTCGGGATGCTTCCCCGGCTTCATACTCTTGGTTTGATGACTTGTGGTGCCACAACCCCTGGAGAATGCCTCACTATCTCTGGTTCCTAGGCATGTTGGCTAAGATATTCAATCAGGTTGCTCTTCGACGCATCACTCTACGCGGAAGTTTCCCGAACACTGGGGAAGATGTTGGATCGCATAGGAGTTGGTAGGAGGTTTTGGTGGAGTCCGTATTATCACCAGTCAAGCACGGGCGTGTGCTAAAAAATGCGAGCCCCTTCTCGGCACTCCCGCCACTCAGTAGTTTGGGGCGCTTGCAGTGCGACACGAGCAGCTATGTTCATAATCAACCATCCTTTCGAAATGCCTCGAGGCCCCTTGTACGGTTTGAGTGAGCAAGCAGTATGAGCTGCCTGGAACCAGCTCAACAAGCAGCATTTAGGGTTTACGGTTTAGGGCTTAGGGGGAGTTTTTGAGGAACAAGGGTACCTCTTGCAAACCCCAGGTATTTTTATATTGGGGATTCTGAGGTCCCTAGTAGGGGTTCTGTAGTCTTGGAGACCATCTCATATCCTGTGTATGGATGAGGTACATGTACATGAGGTATAGATGCACGTGTTCTACATGTATCTGCAATGTTTACATATGTTCTTAGTCCTTCTGGTCCTGAGTAGTGAATACAGGAGTATAATCCCTACATATAACATATTCCCTTCTTCCCTACTAAGAACCAGTAAGTAGTAGGCATTTGCACATTCTGACCGGGCCAGGAGCCAGATCCACATCGGTGTCTGTGACATCAATCACGCTCCGTAAACGCCTCCTGAACAGCAGTGCTCCAGCACCGAGCTTAAGCAATTCTGCGCAAGATGCATGCAGAACCACCTATAAAAATGTAGAAAGCCAAACAAGACAGGCAAGGATCATCGGCATTCTCTTGGGAATTACAACCAAGCAACTACATACCGACATGGGGATTTCTAGACCCTAATATATTACAATCCTCAGGTCCTTTCTCTGCTCCCAGGATGGAAATCCCCATATGAAAATGTTGAAGCCTCGGTGAGCTCACGGAGGCTGCAGGCCTTTCTTCGACACCGGCCTCCAGTGGACGGGACACATAAAACTTATAGGGTTTAGGGTTTAGGGTTTAGGGTTTAGGGTTAAAACGTTCCGTAGACGTGCTAAGGAAATGTTAGTCACCCAGACCCTTAAAAATTAGGACCCTAAGAGTCGTATGATTCTTGCAGGATGCTTATTATAGGGGCCCGGATTACTACAATCACCTTATTAAAGCGAGCAAGTTGATAGGATCCGGAAAACATGGCGCTGATGAAACTCGCAAGATGCTCTGAAGACTTAGGGACCATCTGCCTTCGTGTGGGCTTCACAGCTGATAGGATCCGTACATGGTTACACTTCTATGGATTCGGTGCACTGAGCATATAGTAGAATTTATTCCATGATATTCTGTAAGCGTGATATCGGGGTGCTGAAGCTTCTAAATCCCCTGGTGAAGGACTTTATCATCGGGTTCCCTCTTGAGAGGGAGTAAGTAGGGAACGCTGCAGTCCCAGAGCGCGTACCAAAAAAAGATTGTGGATATATGAGCTATAGTCTAAACTCCTGGTATCCCCCTGTATAACCCTATGATAGTCCCCTATATAATCCCCTAGATGACCCCCCTTTAAGGAGTTTAGACTATAGCTCATATAAACCTGGATACCTGAAGACTCAATGAGCTTGATCTCCAGGTTCTGTAGGGAAATGTTCTAGGGAAAATTTGGCAACCAGCATCCTGAAAACAAGGATCCATTGACTATACAACGACTGGTACAAGCTCCTTGTTTCAGGGTTTCGGGCTACCAAAGAGTCTTCCTCCAATGCCAGGGCCTATTGAAACTTTTTCGGGGCCGAGTCTTTGTGCATAGGCAACATTTTACGGCAGTAGGTACATTCAGGAACTTCCACTCTGTGTCTTAAATAAGTTGGAAGTCTCATCATCAAGGCCATCAGGAAAAGACACAACCAACTGCTTCAGACCCTACATCTGCCCCTGCGCTTGCCAGCCTCGATCTCCTGCTTCGTCCGAAGTCCACACCGCTTCATGTCGTTGCAGACCTTTGGGGAAGAGTGGCTCATCAAACATGTGAGGGTGAAGCCGTAGGCACAAGAGGCCGCAAGATTCACCGAGAATCAGGATTACACTAACCGCACCCCCTGCATAGGCAAGCCAGGCAAGGGGGCCCCTCCCCATTTGTCCTTCGGCCGAGTTAACTGTAGAGAACGACTATGACAACGTTAGATCTTGTAGCTGCTAGAACCAGTAAGACTTGCAACACTCACTAGGCCTGCTAGAACTCAACCAACCCTAAACACTAAACTCTTAATCCTCAGAACTCAAAGCATGCACCAAACTGGCCGCTGCCTGTTGAGAAGGTCGATTTGACACCTGCCCACAGGATTTAGGGTGTAGGCCTCTGGCTGCATACTGGATTGAATTTTCAGGGTTTGAGTGGTAGCAGGGGTCAGGGCTTAGGGTGCGAGAATCGCCTTTTCATGGACAAACCAGGCCGAATGAAGCCTTACTGAATTCTAGTCAGCGCTAGTCAAGCTTCATCAGTCTTCAGCCCCGGGTCATGAAGCTCCTGAAGTAGATAGAATGTCGGGTATAGTATTGGGGCTATATAGGGATAATGGAAAAGAAACTGGAAACTACAGGGATAATAGGGATTATATAGGGATTATAGGGTATATATGTATGGTGCAAGGTGCTTGGGCAGAATCTGCCAGGTGCCACAACATCGTGGGATGGGAAGGTCACAAGGCTGAACTGTGTGAAGGTCAGCTCTGCGATGGAGGCAAAGCTGATGAAATGCAAGCAAGTAACCCGCACCCACAAGTTTTCGGGCTTGTACTTGTAAGAGCCCGGCTTCTGTTCAAGTATATATCATGATTTCTGTTTCCATGTCATTCTCGGTTGTTGGGGGGTGCTATCTTTAACCCCTATATATTACAACTACATACGGTGCAGAAGAGGTCTCCTCAGGCTAGCTCGCAACCCAGAACTCCACAACCGCAACTTGTGGACTCAAGAACAGCGCCCTATATCTTATGGTGATACCAAATATGCCTTCCAGGGTAGCCTAACGCCACTTAGGTCCTGTAATGAGGTCATGGTAAACGTCAACGACCCACCGCATCAATGGGCCCGTAGCTTGCTGTTGTGTTCTTGCCACATGGGCACCCCACCTACACACTCACCCAAACTCCTAAGGCAGAAAACCATAATGTAGGGGCCTAAATAATTACCAATATCATTTTGAGGTCCATTTGAGGTACCCTAAAGTATAATTATACAAGGAATATGGAACCATATATACCCTATAGAATCCCTATAAACCCTAGTAGTTTCCATTTTCTTTTCCATGATCCCTATATTACCCCTATTCAGCCTCCAGGTGACCATCCACCACAAGGCGGATGAACTTTGCCTTGTCGTTCAGGGTGGCCACCTGACAGCAGCCCATTGACAGGCCAGATGCTAGGTACCTATGCAGCTCAACAATTGAATCGTAGGCACAATGCAACGTCGCGAAGAAGACGCCAAAACTGCACAAAAAGGAAGGCTATCAAGAGCTCAAGACTGAAATTCGACAGCGAGTGCCTTCAACCACCAATCAAGGTAAACAAGAAGGCGATCACTTTGGTCATCGTGTCACAACATAAAGCTGGTCTTGAGAGGCCTCTCTGGAGAGCTTGCCGATGCAGTACTCTTTCCGCTTTCTGTACACGTCCAGGCGAACCTCTCAGAGCCAGGACTACTTGCCCCTTTGAAAGATTCTTCAATTCCCGTTCCCTGTGCAAAGATTCATTTAGAACCATAGGGCGGCTTTTGTGGGAAGCCTACAGCCAGGGTAGGCAGCAGCGCATGAGGTTTTGTTTGCAAGAGCCAGCACTTGCTGGCGGCTTTCAATGGCAAGCCTGGGATGTCTAACAGGAGTTTATAACAGGAAAAATGGGGTTCAGACTCTAGGTTTTAAAAAAGCAGCAATGATCTTCATGGCTTTCACGAGAACAACTGAAGAAGCAGAAAGGATGACTACCGCCACAGAATAATCATGGCCTGGCCGTCCGTGTCAAAAGCCAATTGTTCCCCGGCAGGTTGTCAACATTGTGGTCAGGTCCCAATTATAGTTCGCCCCAGATACTTAGGGTACCTCAAAAAGGCTGCATAATTCTGACAACCATCTGAAATTGCGGTTATACTAATATTGTCGAGCTATCATATCAAGACCTTAGTATTGGCATCTCCAAAAATGTGGGGTCCCCGCGATGCACCATGAAGCACCACAGGGGCCCTCAACACTTGGAAACCCCAAAGCCCTAGACCCTTACAATCCCAGTCTCCGTTCCTTTTCCATTTGATTCTCCATGGTTCAGGTTGTGAGCCCCCATCGCCTTCGCAAACTCTTGTAGGATCTCCTCTGGCGACTCGAACTTCTTGAGCTTTCCGCCTCAAGGAATTTGGGTTCCAAATATTTGGGGTCCCTTTTTGGGGAGTCCCTGTGAATTGGGAATTCTGATGTTTGGGACAATCATCTCATTTGTTACAGACAGAGGGTGGACCCTCATATCTAGAACCAACCCTATCAATCAAACTTCTGATGGGCAAAAATGCTGCCTATCGGTAACTTGATCATGCTGCAGTACCTTAAACCCTAAGCCCTAAGCCCTTAATTGCAGTTTCCACTTGATTTTCCATTATCGCTATACAACACCCATATTATACCCCTACATGCCCTAATATAACCAATGTTGGCAAGATGTTGTCCGTCAACGTGGTCTTCTCAAGCTGTAGGTCGTCATAAACCCAGCTGTCATACGTTGAATTCAAATGGCACTGCCAAAAAGGCCCAAACCCATCACTGTGATCATATTGAGGGGTGGTTGCAGTGACCTCAAGGGGGACCCTAACCAAGTTTAATTTCACCCCTCAGATTCCCAGGCAGTCCCCATGTTACTTCCCCTAAGCTGCAAGGGTGCCCATTCAGGATCATAGCCCGTTTATGACTAGCCTTGAGCTGGGTGTTGATTCGGCTAGCGCTCCTGCATGACAAGATATGATAAGTAACCTAAATGAGACAATGCCCGCTACAGGTAGCCCCGCCAAGACAGAACGTATAGAACCCCAAAACGCATAAAAGGCGACTTCCTTATCACATGCGCACCGCATCCTCCTCGTTTCAGCTCATATTTTGCAGTGCAGGAGGCACAGATTTTGATTGCTTCACTTTCTGTGAGGCAACCATGATTCGAAACTGTTGATTTGAGCCCCTCGCTGGCATCAAAGAGGTGCATGTTCGTAGTCGAGATGCTGGACCTTATCCGGGAGACATGAGAAGTTGCTTTGACAGTAAGAATGCAAAACGATGGCTATTGCTGCCATTTCTGCTATTGCTTCTTTGGCCCTTTCCGTACGCTTCAAGCCACGATCTGCTAAGGATCAATGCCAACATGCATCAAGCCTTTTGCGACGTGCCATCTACTTACTCATACAACATTGCAGTGAATCACGCAAAAAGATCGGCGGATTTTTGGGAAAATGATATTCTGAAAAAACTGATTATGACCCGTAAGTCTATTATTGGGAACGGTCTTGTTTGCAGCAAATGCTTAATTGCTCTCGCTGCAACCGGGAAGCTTCAGGTGAAGCGTCTTCTCCAACCCACGTTGTTCTGCTTGAGCCACCTGTGACAAGACTCAAGACGTGAGACCTTGCAAAAGAATGGCTCCTGAGACGCTAAGGCAGTTGTGCTTATGTGCTTGCCTTTGCTGCCTCTACAAGGCCATCAACCCAAGAGCCAAACATCTGTGGATGAGGGCATGAGTCCTTGCAAAATCATAGGAGGACTTTCCTTTTGCTTATAGTCATTTGTGCAGTCAAAGGATAACGCGTATTTTGCGAAGCAGTGCAAGGTTGCAGCGGAGAAGCCTTGTCCGGCAACATGGACAGGCTGAAGTGCACGGTGTTCTCCTGCTGTCTAAAGTTCATCAGAAACATCCTAGCTTCTTCTACTCCAGCTGCCGAGATGATTCGTGTCTACTTTCCCAAAGCTCACAGGGACTTCAAGACGCAGCATCCGCACCGTATGATACTCGCGGAACTCCGAGATCATTGCCCTCTTTCCGGCATGAGCCTGACAAGGTTGAGGCCAGCTCTCTCATCATCGTAGCTGGCTTCATGAGCTTCGATTCCAGACTTGAAGCCGGCGGCTGAGCACCTACTACATCAGTCTTGTCAGATTCAGGGCTACAGCCATGACTACTGTTCTCACCAGTACAATGCTGACTATCCCGTCCGTCTCATTCCTGTGAACGCCTGTCACCCCAGCAGTGGACTCTGGACTGCCAGCCTGCATTTGCTCGAGTACCCACTCCTTGTAGTCCTTGCGACTACTGGTTTTTGGTCTCAAGTCTATAATGGATGGGGTCCTAAGCAGTTGATTGTAGGTGTAGCGTTGGGCTTGTTCAAGTATATTCAAGTATAGACTCAAGGTGCAGGGAGTCAGAGTGTCCACAGTGTTGGTGGTTTGGGGCTCTACGCTTAGCAGCATAGGGGCTAAACTCTTGTCTGCAAAAAGCCGCCACCACTTCAAGGAGACTGCGATAGAGCCACTTACTAGCCATTTCGGATTTAGGGTTTTGGGTAATGGATGTCCTTGGAATTAAGCTACATGGTGCTGCAGGTTGGATTGGAGGGCGGTTTTGGGGCAATAGTTTTTTTGGCCTGCACGCGAATATAGCTGTGTTGTCATGTCCCTCCGCGAAATCAGTGCAAAGCTTGATGCTTGATACCCCTAGATTTAACACAATTTGTGGAGGGCCAAATTAGGCGGCAAGTTCTGGGGCCAAAAATACCCCTAGCGTTAAAGCAAACAAATTACACCCCGAACCAAAAAAAATGAGCATTAGTTTTGAGGTTGTACCACTTGTACTTAACATGATTTACTTTTTCTGTTGTGGATCTCCCATCTCTAGAGGAATGGGGCTGGGATATTAATCCCCTCCCCCTGATATTAAACCCCCCAACCCTCTAATATTAAATACTCCCAACATAGTATAACATACCACACAACGGGAGGATTCAATATCAGGGGGCGTGGGGGGGGTTATATAGTATTAGAGGGAGGGGATTAATCTGGGGGCTCACCCCCCGTATGAATCAAGAGCGCAGATTGGACATTTGGAGATCTTCAACTTCGCACCGGTACACGCACTTTAGGATACTGTCTACGTCAAGTGGAGCCGTTAGAACCCTATTAGGCCTTATTAAGCCCTATATAGTCCTAATAGCTCCCTAAACCCTGGGGGGTGTACCTTCGGGGGGGTACCAAAAAAACAAACCAGGAGGCCATGATCTCAATGCTAGAAAAATAGCGACAACTGTGCTTGTTTTTCCGGAATGACATGACGGAACAACATCAGGTGAGGCTCACACGCGGCTTTTCAAAGCTACGCTGCTCATATACTTAAAATAACTGGACCCAATTTTTTGGGAAACCTGCCTCTCGTCCGCTGGACAATCTACGTGCAACCAAGCAAAGCTACCATCCCTTTTGCCCCTAAACTCCAAGCAGGCAACCCCGCAAGCTTTCCCAACTCTGGCTGTGCCTGCGTCCACTTTCGCACTGGCAGCTCGGTGACTTCAATCCGGGTAGATCCAAACCTGTGCTGGCAAAGCTACAAGATTTGGGAAGTTAGAGCTTAGCTTTTCAACAGACCTTTGGGGATTTAGGGTTTGGTGTCTGAGGGGGGGTAGTTTAGTCACGTGCACGTACAAGTACCATCTAGGGATTCCGGGTCTGATCTAACGCTTCTGATGCTTCTCGAGATTGTGTCCAAAATCAGAAACAGTCTAAAAGTGTCGGAACATTATTAGTGAACCCTAAGCCCTTACCTGAATGAGGCTTCCTTGAAGCTTGAGTCAGAGAAGGCCAGCCGGGCTCCCCTTGGGCTGCTCTCAAAATTATGGGCTCCTTTTGGTTATAGACTATATTACGGCGCCTAATCTTTAGGGGTACCAAAATGGGACCCTCATTTGGGGAAACCCTAAAAACCATAAAAACCCTATATAATCCCAGTTTCTATTTCATTTTCCATTTTCTTTTGCATGTGATACTCATGATGCCACTAGTTGCAGGCCAATCAAAAAGTGCAAGGAAAAGCTTCAAATGCAGAACGGTGAGGGCAAGCATCGTCGTAGCTAGCCAGTAGAAGACCAACAAAGTTTCACTGATGCTCAAAAGACGCAGTCGCCCGCAAGGAGTGGAGCCCGCTCGCTCAGCGTTCAATTCAAAATGTGCATGTGATTCTCCATTAATGGTACCAAAATTCTCCATTAATGGTACTAAAATGGGACCCTAATGTGGGGAACTACCCTAACCCTAAAGCCTAAACCCTTGACAAAACAGAAACTCCGGCCTCTGGGCCACTCCAACTGTCTCGAAACGCCCAGGCTTATCCTCTCCCATTGCGTTGATGGTCCCGCGAAAGCCGCGGTACCTCCAAGAGTCGGGAATTAGTAGTTTCCGTTTTCGTCTCCATTATCCCATATATAACCCCCATATACCCCATTATACGATAGTAGCTTCCATTTTCTTTTCCATTATCCCATATAGACCCCATTATACTATAGTAGCTTCCATGTTAATTCCATTATCTCGATATAACCCCAATATAATCCTATATAGCCTGTTAATAATCCCTACATAACCCCAATATAACCCCCCACATAATCCCTATAATCCCTATAGTTTCCATTTTCTTTTCCATGATCCCTATATATGATCCCTAAAATCCCTATAGCTTCGATTTTCCTGTCCATAATCTGTATCAAGCGAAGGAAAGGTTCAAGATGAAGAGCTCGTGCGTGTTTCTAGGTTGTCTATCATGATAGTATACAATAATTTAAATGGTATATATATATATATAAACATGCATATATACATTCATATATTATAGTATATTCTGGTATATGGTTGTATATTATAGTACATTATAATATATTATGGCTAGCAGTTAGGTCTTCCTCTCGGTCTGCTTCATGACATGGATCCTTGTGTCGCTTTGTGAAACTTGCATTCCTGCCATGCTCCACTGCGTGTGCTTGCGTTCCTCTCAGAATTCCGATGCTGGGCAAGGATAGCGAAATAACTGCCACCCATACATCCTCAGAAGCTGATTATGCATGTATAGAGCTACAGTGAATGCACCTCAAGAATCAAAAAATAATGCCTTGACTACAAAACTCCCTGCGGGTCAGGGGACCACGGTGTCATCGGCTGCAGAGGCTCCCCGCGCAGGTGACGCCGGACCTGCGGCAAGAGCAACAGAGAGGACCCATTTCTGGCATTAACGATTCAATGATGGCGTTTGGGGCCTTGGAACGTTTGAGTTCATGAAATGGTGGTCCTGCTCCTTCATCAGCCAAAAGTGTGAACACGTACTTCTAACTGCTCTGACAAATGACAGATTAAAGTATCTCCTACTCGACCAGAAACCAGGATACAAGGAGCAAGGATATCCGTCCATGTGATGTGCTGTCAGCTTGCTGAGAAAACAATTGATAACCCACACAAAGCAGCAGAATCGGAGTTGCTCTCAAGGTCCTAGCTCAGCCCGAGACGTTCGCGATCAACTCACGAGGGTTGTAGTTGGGTACCGCAGTGCTCCAGCCCACACCGATTCCGTCAGCTCCATTCACAAGGACCTGAGACTGCCACTTCGAAACATCTAAGCTGTCTTGGACATGGGCTTGTTCAGGACAATATCACATTCCTGCAGAACATGTGTCCATGTGCCGCCCCTTCGTCACCATGGAAGTGACAGTAGCTCACCTAGTACTTTTCCGGACACCAGTGTGGTTTGCGCAAAGTTGTTCACGCTTTTTATGCACATCAGTTGTTCTTTTACCATCTCCAAAATCGAGGGTACTCCATGGCGCACACATAACAACGGTACCACAGCTGCTGTGACCTAAGAACAGCCCCAAATCCCAGGCCCTACTCTCTCCCCGCAGCAGTGGATACTCCTCGAAATCAGGTGCCTTCATACCAACGAAAGAACAACGCAATCCCGAAACAGGGGTGTTCCATGCCTTGGAAACTTGCCGTTTTTCCACCCTACCAAACTCAGAAGCCCCCAAACCCTAAACCCTGAATGATATAGTAGCAGTTTCCATGTCAGTTTCCATGTTGTTTTCCGTCCGATGTTCTGTCATGTGTGCCTATACTATAACACCCAACCCTGAAACCCCTAAGCCCTAAACCCTTGCCCTGCAAGGCTAGGGCCAGTGGTATCACGGGACAGTACCACTTGGGCTCGATTCGCTGTCCCTCCTCCGACTGGTACCTGGGTGGTTTTTTGCGGCGGGGGTTTAGGGATTTAGGGGTATAGGGTTCAGGGTTGGAGTTTGGAGTTTAGGGTTTGGGGCTTGCTGTTTGGGGTTTAAGCGGGGGTTCACAGGTGCACCTTGAGGTTTGCCTAGTGTTTGTCTTGAGAAACTCACGATGAGAAAAAAAGGAATTGAAGAAGTTATGGGGGCACTATGGTGAATTCACTGTGGGCGCTTGCATAACGTATTGTTCCCAAACTGAAGAAAAGCTTGTTCGCAGCAGCTTCCAAGGCAACGGGAACCTGAATGCAGAAGCCCAAATATGAGATTCCTTACATGGGGACCCCAATATAGCCCCCAATAAATTATTGTCCTTAGGCACCAACGGAAAGGTACCTCTAATTTTGGGAAATCCGCAAATGCCTCACACTCACAAACGAAACCAAACATGGACATGCGTATGGTCTAGGTGGATCCCCGACCCTCTAATAACGGTATAGTAGGAATTTAAGAAGACCCTCAAATATGATCACCACTATCTCTTCTAATCACTAATACTGGGTGGGGGATCCACCTAAGTTATGGTATGTATCTAGCCGGCGTGGTGTTACTTTCAGTCTTGCTGCCTAGGTCTCTCAAGTATGGGGAGCCGAAGATTTAGGGTTAAGGGTTTAGGGATTCGGGGTTAGGATTTAGGGATTAGGGTTTAGGGATTAGAGGTTAAGGTTTTGGGGGTCGGGATTCCAGAAAGTTGGGAGGCCCTTCAAAATGTTGGGGTCTATATTATCGGAGCCCTCAATTTATGGAAGCTTTTACATGGGATTTCAAGAAAGACTATGCGAGCCCTTAACAACGCGAGAATGATGACCTTGATAATACACCATGATGGAGAGTCTTTGCATGGTCTAGGGCCAGGGTGTCTTACTATCAGGCATAGGGGAAGTTCTACCAATTGCTGCTTTCGAAGAGGTCATGTGAGCTTAACCTAAGTCATGTTCGAATAACCTTCATACTCTCATCGTTGTGAAGGCTCCTTTGACTGTTGTTGCTGGCATTCTCCGGAAAACGAACATGAATCACGTGCTCCATGACGTTGCGGCTGATGCGGCCAGCACTGCTCGGATTTACTGTTCTGATGCTGCTGCCATTCTTGAACTGACTTCTCAGATCTCATGCAAGCCTTAACCAAAAATCGATGTCTCAGCTCATGGCTCAAGGACCGGATCATCCTCTTCAGGGAACATACATCGCGTCTCAGTGTGCACCAGAACATCCGCGAGAAGCTTTCTGGTGGTAGAAACGCGAGAAGCTCACAAGAAAATTACTACTGTGGATGGAACTACTATCCTATACATCAATAACTACAACATTTCTTGGGATCCCAAGTCGTGCAGATTTCCTCCATCCACCGTGCTTCACCAAACGCAGCCAAGGGCCTCTGATTTATCCCGGGTGTGGGGGTTGGTTGCTTGGGGTCGGGGTCTATCCCAGTGAGCCAATGACCCGAGACAAAATGCGGTAGTCTCTGCACGAAAGTCTCACCCAAACCCAAAGACTCCATTGCCCATTCCAGGTTGTGAAGGGACCTTCGACTTTGATAGTTCACCAAGCCATCCCCACAAACTCTTTTTTTCATCGATCCATCACCATCATGCACCTGCAATCTCAAAACACGGTCCCATGGCTCACACACCCTCACTGCCAGGTGCAGCACAGCTGGCGCCAGCTTTGTGAAGATGTACCGGGCGGCGGCGTGATCCTTGCCCAAGTGTTGACCCCAAGGGTATGGTGGAGGGTTCAGGCGAACGAGGTGCAGATTTTGGAGTTGAGGGTGAAGACTTGAGTTTCAGGTTCTAGGTTTAGGGTGTCAGCTTCAAGGATTAAGCTTAAGTGTGAAGAGTTTAGAGTTGCGGGTGCTAGGTTGAGGCGTGAGAGGTTCAGGGTGAACCGAACAGCATGGGTTGAGGGTCTAGGCCTAGGTTTACGGTCTCGGGTTGACCTTTCAGGGGTGCGGCGAGGGCCATGGGAGGATGATACAGAGAATGTAAAACAACAGACGAGGGGACTGTATAAACATCAAATAAGCATCATGTGGTTGGTTGGTGGAGGTTACAAATCCCCGTCTAGAGTAGCTCAAGATTGGATCTAAACCCTGTCCCCTCATAAGAAATCTGACCATTTGGGAGCAACAGTGAAAACCCAAGAAGCACGGTTTGTCTGTACCCCATATCCTTGCTCTGATAGGGACTCCCGAGACATGGAGCCACAACTTTAAGGCCCTCAACCCATTGCTTACTGGTTCTTCGTACAAAGTATGGACAGAAATCTTTACGGATTACATGAGCCATCGTCTAAACTATTCTAAACTCCTTCCCCCTCAATAGCCCTATAATAGTCCCCTACATAATCCTTTAAGCAACCCCCCTTTAAGGAGTTTAGAATATGGCTCCGAAAAAGGATTATATTCCCTTATTACCTAACTGCGTTGGGAAGCAGAATGCAGTTCCAGCCTTGCCACCCTGGTTACGAGTCCCAAACTGTCCGGATGGCCTCATCAGCAGGAAACACCTACCTGCACCTTCTCCCTACAATAATCATCTGAAAATATTATCCCTATATATAGATACTATAGGAATATGATAGTTTCCATTTTCTTTTCCATTGTCCCTATACTTGTCTCAATGATGGTGTTTATTTGTACTCATGGTTCTTAATAGCCCTACAAGGCAAAAATCAGCGGTAGATGCTTGCGTGCAGAGGCCGTTCTCCTCATGATGGAAGAGACCTTGAATTCTACTTAGAGCCCGCGGCAGATCTACGAAGCAAGCCTTAGCTTACCGAACCTCCATTTTGTCAGACGAAAGGGATGGGAGAAGTGTGACTTGTCACAACATCGACGACGGACGTCTGCAGGGTTGAGTCGGGCATCATCTAAAGTGAACATGCTGTCCAGAAAGCTCCCACGTGACCCAGGGGAGAGAAGTCGGGGTGCGTCGTTGGCTGGTGAGAACGGAAAACTCCATGCTGGGATCATGTACAAACTGGGAGAGGATTTCCGCTCTGAAAAAACCCTCCAAGCTGCCAGCTGTAAAAGATTCACGTTGTTGCTCCCCACGAAGTGCTGCGCCTGTCTGACAGCAGCACCCGCTCACAGACGAAGACGACAGCGATGACGACTAGCAGTAAGTACGTACGTACATACCTACCTACCTACCTACCTACCTACCTACCTACCTCGCTACTACTACTGCTACTACTGCTACTACTGCAGTATACTGCCACTACTGCCACTACTGCTACTACTGCTACTACTGCAGTATACTGCCACTACTGCTACTACTGCTACTACTGCTCCTACTGCTACTACTGCTACTGCTACTGCTACTACTGCTACTGCTACTGCTACTGCTACTACTGCTACTGTCATCCGCATCATGATCAGCAGCATGACCAACAGCATCATCATCATCACCACCATCATCATCATCAAAGGCAGCATCAACAGAATCCACCAACATTATCAACAACATGGTCATCACCAGGAACATGAACATCTTCATCATTGCCGCCATCATCATCCGCATCATCACGAGCATCACCAGTAACATCGACGTCATCAGAATGCTACACCGATGCTAGCACAAGCACCATTACAATTATCATTGCTCATGTTTGCGAATGTGAACGTGCGGTGCCAATGGGTGAATTGAGAGTACAACTCGCACCAGGAGCACTGCGAACTTAACTAACCAGAACCACCACTCGTCAACCTTCGATGCGCAAAAAACAACATGCAGCCACCAGATACGTAAGTCTCGCAAAAACTTTGGGGGTTGTTCAACGAAGATGCGAATCTTTGCAGCCAAAACCCTAGCAAGACACGAAAGGCCCAAGTTTTCTGGAAAGTCTCAAGTAGACTTCTGTTTGCAACTGGTGGCATGGGATGTCCAGGCACTTCCGAAGAAATGCGCGCTGCGGAATATTCGATAAAACATGAGAGGCGAAGCTCGCTATTGGCTTCATGCAATAGTCAAATTCATGATGTCCCACACAGAACTCTCATCGAAAGGTTCTGGTGGGGGTGCTTGAAGCCCTTATCTTGCGGGCAGGCGAAGAACAACAAGCTGGGCTCCAGCAAGCTGATCCAAGCTTCAGGGATGAGGCATTAGAATTGGAGGTGTTCTCTTGATACGAAAATTGCTACATTGCTTCAAGTACCTCATACCTGGAGAATTTCAATGCTCTGGTATACAAAGGTCACGCCGGATGTTTTGTATCAGCAGTTAAGAATAGGGTTTGGGGTTTGTTTCAAAGCCAGGTATGCTTGAATCACCTGCTGATGGCCCTGCTGATTTGAAAAGCCTGCCGACAAAGACCTGGACATGTGCCACCACGGTTGTCACAATGAAGCATACTTGCCAGTTTCATAGTGGGAGGACCCCCCGCAATTTGACACCTAATTCGGCACACACCCGCTTGAATTCCAAACTGTTTGGTGGATCTGCCCGGACCTAACGAATCATTCATATGAAAGTGGCAACTGATTTGAGATTGATCTGGGGCTTGGGATGTCCACACGCCAACTTGCATGCTGAATTCTGGTGCATTAAATTGGAGCTCTGCGCTGCAAGCCTCACAGGGCCACACAACGCCTATCACCACATCGGCCCGACAGACGTAGAGTCGACAGCAAGGTCTGCGCGCTGGGCAGACGTCATCTGCTGCTCAAAATTAAGTCACAGGAATGTGAGGGAAGGTCTGGCTTATTCCAGCTTGATAAGAACTGAAGATGGGCAAAATAAGCCCTAGCTAGGCTGGTTGACTGCGGTTTAAGCAGGCCCCGCCTTACCCGCCAGCCGACCCCCCCGTTCCTGCCAATAGAGACCAAGTAATGCAATGGCCTCAAGCCGGTATCTGGATGGCACTCCACCTAGCAGACCTAGACAGCATGTCTGGCATTCAGCTGCAGCTTAGGCTGTAGGAACATCTTGCGGTGGAGCAAACATGGCGAAGCGTGCGCTATTAATTGGTGAAGAGGCTGTTGCCCGTTGAAACGTCTGCCACAGATGCAGCAACGACAGTGGGGCCCGGAACATCTCACAAAATGCCCTTGCACGACCGGCAAGAGATGATGGCAAGCTGCTGGAAACGAGCCCGCCATTTCGTTGCCAATGCTCTTCCTTAGGCCTTGCATCAAATGATGGATGATCCGTGCACCCGGTCAAATGCTAGGGGCTTGCTAGGGACCATGAAGAAGGTACTCCTGCTTTTTGAGGCATTCTGAACCGTGCCGTTGGCTGTCTTGAATCCAGACAGCTCCTTCAATGCACTAACAGCTGTACAAACACTCCGACGGTGGAGCACATGGTCTGCTCTTAGCCAATCACATGCATCGGTCGAAAGCCTTCAACGCCGCTAAGCGACAGCCTCGCACCAGCCATCAGTAGATCCAAGCAAGGGTAGATGTATAGTCCCCCTTAACTAGATAGAATATGGGGTATATGGGGATCTTATTGTAATAGACCCAAAGCCATGTTCTATCTACTTAAGGGGACTATACCATGATGTCAGTACTATTTAATGCGCTAATCAGAAGTTCACGGAACGGCTACATTTCCAGTCACACTAAGAGGAAGAGGAGGAGGTGAGACAAATAAATACCGCGAGCTTCCACCTTCCAGGGTAACTGCTGACATCTGGTATATTATAATATAGTATATTACAGTATATTATGGTATATTATGGTATATTAGGGTATATTAGGGTATATTCAGTTAGAATCCAAAATCCAGATCTAGACCATGGCCCTCTAACTCACATGACTACAAGGAGGGAAAGGCAGAGTCTCAAAAGGACATACGCAACTGTCATCCCCTAAGCCTAGATATGCCCCCCAAAATAACCCAGAACCCTACACCCTTGTGACAGCCAGCTGTGATCGGCCTGGACCTCTTGAAGTTTGCACATGTCGGCTCTGACTCCTGCCTAATCGGACTCTTGTTGGGTTGAGGGCTTCCTTGGGGGCTCATGGTCTACTATGGAGCTCTACAGAATGTGATGTGGCTATGTTCAGGGCTCTTAGTTTACGGCCCACTTATGCATCGAGGCGTCTGGGGTGCCGGGCTAGTCTGAGATTGTCTAAACTGTGGCAGCTAGACGAGGCCGCCCCCCAAGCAGTTTGAATGGTTCAGGTATCAGGGCTTCATACTAGCTTCCGAAAATGAAGATAAGGGCCAGCTTCCATTTCATGTTCCATGTGTGTTTCCATTTGCACTTCATTCAGTTTCACCGGTGCTCAATAGCAGACCATCGCCCACAAGGAGCAGAGCCCGCTCGCTCAGCGTTCAATTCAAAATGCTTCTCCGTTGTTGGGGGAAAGATCCCTATATAACCCTATGTAACCCTATAAAACCCCTATATAGCCCTCTGTAAAGGTTCCTGCACAGGGCTTGGCCTAGGGACCCGTGTTGTGCCTGAGCTCAGGGGAATCCCCATATTTCCCCCTGAATGACCCCATAGTTCACTATGTATACCCTAAACCCTATATGGCAGTTTCCCAAAATAGGGGGACCCCAATATAGACCCCAAAATACTACAGTCCTTATTATTGGGACCCCCAAAATGGTAGGCCTAATTTTGGGAAACCCCCATATGACCACTATAATGTCCTATGTATGCTCTAGCAAAACCCTGGAAATCAGGCGCCTTACGACGCCGGGCCAGCTGGGCCTGGCTCCGAAGCCGTGGCGGGAGGGCCTCCAAGCTGGGTTAAGGGTTTAGGGTATAGACTTCCCCTGGAACAGTTCCCAATAACCCTAAGGCAGGGTTTAGGGTTTAGGGTTAAGGGTTTAGGGTTAAGGGCTTTGGGGTTAAGGGTTTTGGGGTTTTGGGGTTTAGGGGTTTAGGGTTAAAGGGTTAGGATTGGGGGTTTAGGATTGAGGGCTTAGGATTTAGGGTTCAGGGTTCATAGTGTTTCAGGTTCAGGGGACATCTAGGAATTTATAAAGGGCTATACAAATGATAAAGCTTTTCAAGGATTTATGGGGATGTGTCGGGTATATAGTGGGATATATAGGCAGTGATATATTGAGATTAAAGGGTTTAGCGCTCAGGGGCTATATCTGAATATGTTGTATTAGCATACATAAAGGAGACAGGGAAGAAAATGGAAGCTACTATGATATCTTGGTGTTGGCTAGACACACATATATATACATATACATTATATATGTATATTGGGATATATGGAGTTTGCAAAAATTAGAGGTCCCTTTTGGGGGGGAGGTCCCCAAAGTAGGGATAGTAGGTCTAGTGGTGTAACGTCTGGGGTTTAAGGTGTGTTTGGGGCTTAGGGTTCCTTGGAGTATAAGGCTTCGGGTCCAGGGTTTCTGACCTGGACTAGCTGATATCCCACCACTGTCCTGGTCCCGCTTCTTATGAGAAGAGATGATGTAGTAAGGAGCATCATACACCCAGCTTTGATTGCATAAGTTGCTGCTTGAAAATACATATGCTCAACGTTTAACCCTCAACCTCAACATAAACCCTAAACCCTGAACTCTTTAGTCCCCCTTAGGTAGATAGAATTTGGCTTTGGACATATTATTCTAAGGTCCCCACATAATTACCCCATATTCTATCTACTTAAGGGGGACTGTAAACCCTAGGCTCCACAAGAGGGCTTCGGAGCTGACGGATCCTGCCTCCAAGCTGAGAGGCAGACCTCCAGCGTTTGCAAGGGCCATGTCACAGCACTGGTACCATAATATACCACAATATACCACAATATACCATATAATATACCATAATATACCATAATATACCATAGTAAACTATAATGTACTAAAAACCTCCCTCCCCAGAATAATAAAAAATGAAACCCCTTAGTCCAAGGAATGAAGGGTCAAAGACTACTTTCAAGGCAGAGGCGTTTGGGGGCCGAAAGCCCCGGATAGCTAATTATCGGACAACAAAAGTGGTAATCTTGCTGTTTAAGGTGGTGTGAGGCATAGTCTCAAATCCCAAGAGTCTGAGGCTTCTGCATTGAAGATCATCAGTTTTTACGCTTCTTGATGCGTCATTATTCTAGAGTGTGCTTTTATTTGAAGAACTCGGATTAACCCGCTC